TCACTCCATTATATCTATCGTATCTAGTCTCTCTTATATAGTCGTATATAATATATTATGTATAATAGTATTATAGTATAATATATTATTTATACTTATATAATACTAATATATGGTATAAGCTAGTATATATATCCTATACTTATCTATATATATATATGTATATATATGTGTGTGTGATGTGTGTGTTCGTGTGTGTGTGTGTGTGTGTGGTATCACACACATATACTCTGGTTTCGTCGTGCACGTACACACCAAAAGCGCCTTGCTCGCAAAACCTCATTGTTGTCAATTCCTTTCCCTCTGTTCCCTACAAGAAGGTCGACTCCGAGACACTCTCTCTCGGTGACCGCATCCACCCTGTCTGTGAAAGCCAGCTTGGCGTTTCTTCAAAAACGACCCCACAACCAGAGAGTAGAAATGACGGATCCCAAATGTGCGGAAACTCTTCTGTCAGAACTGAAACGTCACTACAATAAACGTCAGTGGAAGAAATCACGGAAAAGTCGGAGAGTCAGCCCAAAGGAGTTCTCGTGACGCGGGAGCGCAGTGCCACGAACTTTATCTTTCTCGTGGTGATTATGCAGGCTTCTTAATTCTTTCTGGTATCTCACTCGTACAAGGGAATAATAATCATCATCGCGCTGTTCTGCTAAAATCTCGGATCCGAAACTTGCGGCTTGTAAGTGGAGTAGGTATGATTTATTTATTTATTTATTTTTGTATTATTGTTTTTTTTATTTGTTTCGAAATTGGTCAGTGTGGATGAAAACGTCGGGTGAAATATTTAGTGTGATTTGATCTCTCTCTCTCTCTCTCTCTCTCTCTCACATATACACATATATTATCTTGTTTTTTCTCTCTCTCTATCTCTCTCTCTCTCACTCACATACGCGCCCTCCTTTTTGTACCAGTGTGTATATTTATCTCGTTTTCTTTTCTCTTTCTCTCTCTGCTCATTAGTTGACAGGCTGGGTCCATTTTTTCAATTCAGGCGGATTTTTTTTTTACTTTTTAAAGCTGACGTCAATTTGTACGTTTAATTTTCATGCATGCAAATACACGTTTTCCAGCTCTCTCACACACAACAATACACAACGTAATCCTTGTGCATTAAAATATATATGGATACTTCCTGAACTTTGACTCATTGAACACTAAAACACCAGCTGCTAGATGTTGGCATTCTACTCTCACTCGCCTTCGCCAGGAACTGTTGTGGTCGCTTTGGCCACCAAACCGCACGAACTGCATTTCTGTCTCGCCAGAGTTCCTTGTCGACTATCTTGAGGAAGTTTGTATGTATATATAATATATATATATATATATATATATATATATATATATATATATTCATTAATATTATTTATATATATACATATATATATATATATATATTATATATATATTATATATATACATTATACTATGTATACACTACACACACATTACATTATATATGTTTGTGTGTGTCCAGTGTGTGTGGTGTGTGTGTGGTGTATGTGTGTATGTGTGTGTTTGTGTGTGTGTGTATGTGCATATATACTATTATCATATCATATATACATATATATAAATTATATATATATATATATATATATATATATATATATATATATATATATACATAAATATAACAATACTTATCACACAAGTTTGCCATACCTACACACAAACTGCATGCGTGTGTCGTTTGTGTACATGCTTGCGCCCTTATAAGTATGCGCGTGTAAAGATGATACGGGAAGTTGCGGGCGTCCAGCTGCGAGCTAGCAACCGACACTGGGCCGGTCCGGTCGGCGGAACAGGCTCTCGAGCGGCCTTTTCTGCTCCGCGTCCTTGGAAGGTAAGGCAGGGAGGTTTGAAACTTCACTCTTGGGAAGATGTTTGGTAGATTCGTTGGTGTGTTCTGTGTCTGTGAGTGGTGTGTGTGTGTGGTGTGTGCTGGGTGTGTGTGGTGTGTGTGTGTGTGTTGGGTGTGTGTGTGTGGGTGTGTGTGTTGTCTGGCGCTGTGTGTGCTGGTTGGTGTGTGTGTGTTTTTGTCGTGTGTGCGTGCTGTGTGGTGTGTGTGTGTTGTGTGGCGTGTGTGTGCGTGGTGTGGGTGGTGTGTGTGGTGTGTGGTGTGTCTGGTGCGTGTGTGTGGTTGTGTGGTGTGTGTGTGTGTGTGTGTGCGTGTGTGCGTGTGTGTGTGTGTGTGTGTGTCTGTGCGTGTGTGGTGGTGCGGTGGTGTGGTGTGTGGTGTGTTGTGTACTGTGTGCGTGTGTGGTGGTGGTGTGGTTGTGTGTGTGTGTGTGGTGTGTGTATGCTGTGTGCTATATATATATCTTAATTATGTATATTCGTATATATATATGTGTTATAGTAGTCTATATATCATTTGCATATATGTTACTATATATGATAGGCTACAATATATATCTCTATATATAACGGATTAATGATAGAAGATCCAGAAAAAATAGATGTAGCACACACTCATATACACATATATGTTATACAC